GGACCCCCCCCGAAAAGCTGGGATGTTGGCATTTCCTATACAGACTTGTGGGGCCACCCAYACCCTGCTGCTCTTGCCCTGGACTAGCTCTGTGGCCTGGGGTTGCTGTGAGTGGCTTTTGCTCCACCATGCCAGAGGTGATCCGCAAACATGCAGCATTTTCCCATCCAGGAGACTTGCACGCCTGAGACCCAGGTGGGATCAGCCACAGGATCACCCTAATCCCCCATTGCCGTCCCTGCTGCCGGGTTTGCCCTGGGAAGGCAGCGGGACTCATAGGAGAGCTCAGTCCTGGGAGGTTCAGGCTCTGGAAACAAGCACCAAAGTGGGCACTTGCTTTGGGTTCCCAAACTAAGCTTTTAACCCATATGCAAAGCAGCAAAAAGAAATAGTGGGAAGCAAGATGTCCTCGATGCCCCCAGCCTGCAGCAAGTCACTTCAAAATGAAGATTTTTAAAGACCCCCCACACCAGTGGTTCCCTTGCCGGCATGCCAGGTGCAGCGCAGCTTCCCAAGGAGCAGGCAGCAACGCTGGGACTCCCGCGGTTAGCCCAATGCCACTGGTGTGCRTGCTGGGGACAGCCCCATGCCACCCCTCGCCCGTGTGCCCTCATCCCCCAGGACGCCTGTGGCGAGCAGAGGGGCAGAGGAGGAAGAAGATGCCGGGGTGGAGGAGGATGCAGGGCGGACAGGGCATTCCTGGCAGTGCCGTGTGACGCCAGTCCCGTCGGAGCGTGGCTGGCGGCACCGCTCCCTGACGCAGGACAAGCCCCAACCTGCCGGCACATTGTGCCGAGGACAAGAGCCGCCTGCCCTGGGGACACGGGCAAGGAGGGTGCCCAAGAGCGCCTGGCCYGAAAACAGGGTGCCCTCGGGCAGTCCCGCTCGTGGCAGCAGAGTGGAAAGTCCCTCTGGGACCGGGTGAACAGGCTTTAGGCCACGTCCAGCCACATCCAGTGACCTCCTTGCCAGCYTCAGTGCCCTATGGAGCTGTTGTGCCCGTCACAACAGCTGTAGTGAGCGGCGCAAGGTCTCGGGCCAGGCTGCAGATGGGCTTTGCCCCCACGTGGGTTTCCAAGCCCCCTTCCTCGAGGTGGCCCTGGACTGGGCTCCCCATTGAGGACAGTGCCCACAGGCAGTCCCTGGCCCAGCCCTGCACGAATCCCATGGGATGTGGCGCCGGCAGCAACCTCCTCCGGGAGCCTTTGGGTGAAGCCTGGGAAGTTCTGGGTGCYCGCTCCACACCTTGGCTTTTCCCGACCTTCAGAGGTTCCTTCATTGCCATGCAAGTCCCATSCCATGCTGTTCCTCCTCTATCCCATGGACTAGCCTGGGGTGTTAAAACAGGCTTATTTTTTCCCAATGAGAAAAGAAGACCGGGACCAGAGCAGGGGGATGAGATGGAGGGGAAAGGAAAAAATAATCTGGGGGTAGAAAGARAGGGAAAAGCAGAGCCGGGACCTCCTCCACCCGCACAGCCCCAGGCCCAGGAGACAAAAGGCGGCACAATTAGCATCTCCAAACAGAGCCAAAATCGTGGAGCTGTTGATTCTGGGCGTCGATTTTCAATATTTAGAATGATTAGCAAGTGAAAGCAGATGGTTGCAAGCATGGCGCCGTGCCAGCGCCACACTCAATGGAGGAGAGAGACAAGGCAAGAGGAGGAGAGAAAAGAAGGGCTTCTGTGTATATTTTTCCCTCACTCTGTGAGCAGGAGATTGGTTTGAGGTGTCACTGCTTGCCCATCAGGGAGGGATAATGGATGAGCCCATGGTTGGAAGAAATAGGAGAAATAAAGGATAATTGCCAGGTGTTCCATAGCAGCAATGGGCACTGCAGGTGGCTGGGGCCAGGGTGGCTTTGGGATCTGGTTGGTCCTCGCTGTCCACTGCTTGGCGGGGACAGGAGAGCGGCGGCACTGCRTGCAGCATCTGTCCCCAAAGGTCCTTGTTTCCCACTGCCCCTGCCAGCTGCTCCGGAGCGCCTAGGCTGATCCTCGTGGATGGCCTGGGATGGGACCGGGGGAGGTGACCCTGGTGCCAAGCCATCCCTACTGGAGCCTGGAATCCACCTCCCATTGCAAATTGCCCTCTCCCATTGCAAATCCCTGCTCTGYGCTCCATAATCCATCTGGTGGATTACAGGAGGGGGAGGAAATCCCCAGGGAAACCTTTGGGAGCAGCCACGAATTGCCCTGGCACCACCTCCCGCTCCCCGTGCCCAGCGCTGGCCGGGGGCGCCGAGCCGGAGGCGCCTGGAGCAGCAGCACAAGGAAATCCAAGGAAACYCCCCGGCAGCTCTGGCCCCCCGCGCCACCCGCGCACCGGCAGCACTGGGGAGGCGGCACCGGGCGCCCTGGCACGGGTCCAGCCCTGGGCACCCATCCCAGTGCGGCCGTCAAGCCTGGACACGCCAGGGCCGCCACCGCCCCGCCACCCGTCCCGCGCACTCGCGCTCTCCGCGCGCCCTCCCCACTGGGAAGGGAGCMGGGAAAAGAAAGAAATCCCCAATCCCTCATTAAAAAGAAAACTCCCTTCCAAGTTCGTTTTGTTGCTTTCCAAAGATGGACAAAACAAGGTTGCTTCGGGCCTCGCCTGGTGCCTCCTTTATATTCACACATACCTTTTTATTTCTCTCCCTTAAAAACCCTGCCTGGCTCCAGCAGGGTGGAATTTCTTTTTTCTTTTTTTTCTTTTTTCTTCTCTGTTTCTCCCCAGCCCCATTTTTCCCCCTGGGGAACTTGGGGACAGCCCTTGGTGCAATGTAGTCATGTCCCACACTTCCCGCATGAAGGCAAGCAGCAACTAAGCCCATCCCAGCCCTGCAGCTCTTCTTTTGGGCTGAAAGAAGCCAGATTGAGAGCAGCAGGGAGCTGGGCRGGCGCTGCAGCCCCGGGTGAGGGGGCAGCAGCTTGGAAAGCAGAGAGCCACGTGTTGAACTGGCTGCTTCCAGGTGCCACTTGCTGCCACCTTATCCTGCAGCTGCTGGGAGCAGCATCCAGCCGTGGCACATGGGGAGATACCCCCAGCTTCGACCCTGGCTCCAAGTCCAACGTGTGTTGTCGGGGTGCATCCTGCATTCCACCTCCCCAAACTCCTGTCTCGAGATTCCRGGTGCTCCTGCTGCCAAGTAGCAGTGGTTTGTGCCTCAGTTTCCCCATTGGGGGAATTTCCAGGGCCATCTAGTGCAGAGCTGAGCCCCCATGCTGCTCTCTCTACTGCACGAGGATTTGGGATTTGGACAGACAAGCAGAACCTCCTTAAGAGAGGTTCAGACAGAGCCAGTCTGTGCCAGAGGGAAACAAGGAGGCAAAAATCTGCATGGGATTTTTTTTTTCTATTTTTTTTTTAATTTGTAAATAGCTTTCCAYGAAAAAAGAAAAAGTTAAATTGTGCACATATCTTTGCCGTTCTTCAGCATCAGTGGGGAGGAATGGGAAAAYGCCGATGCATCGTGAGCTGAGGAGCAGAGCAGACTGGGAAAACAAGGGGCTGGTCGAAGTCACGCCTGCCCCCAAACGCAGCAGGAGGAGGTGGGTGCCGGAGCAATGGGGACTTGGTGTCCCAGCCCACCCCACGCTGTGCTCACAGATCCTGGACTCACCATCCCACTGCCGGCAAGGGACCTCCCTTGCAAAGCTGTCTGCAACCACACATGCAAACTACTACAAGGGATTTCTTTCAGGCTAATTTATTGTATTTTATGCTACAGCTAAACTCCGGCTAARTAATGTTGCTCACATCAAAGGTCCTAAATTCTTCTGTAACCAAAAAAGAAAATCTTTATCGTCCTCCATTCTTCGGCAAGTCTAAGACACACCACTGAAGCTACAGCTTTTACCTTGCACTATCTAGCAGCTACCTTAACCCTAATAACCTGTAGCAAAGGAGAGGCAAAGAATCCAGTTCTCTAGAGCTTCAAGTCAAGTTTTAGCACAATTTTGCTCGACTACTGTCATGTTTCTATGCTGCCTAGGCCTACTTTGCAGATGTCCTGCCGTTCTGTCTTTGCAAGCAGAGTCCAAGGACCAGATCTCCAGTCTGGGTAAATCACGCTGGCAGCGATCCCAGGTGATGGTCGGATGGTTTCCCAGCTCCACGGTGGGGTCTCCTCTCCGCTGTTGTTCCCAGAGTCTGTTGCACGTAGAGTCTTTGGCCTGAGACCCATGGAAAGAGCCTAGATCCAGATTTTATTCCTCCTTGGTCCCATCAGAGAACATTATATTTTCCAGTGATGCTGTCGGTGACCGCTGCCATTTTCTTGGCGGGCCACGTGGGACTGTGTGCAATGCACAGCGGTTCTTGTCCTTGCTCTTTGTCCAAAGCTCCCCCAAAAAACGTGTCCTTAATTGGGGTACCATGTCATCCCCTTGGCTGTTCAGAGCCTGACGGAGGAGCAAAAGATGGAGAGGGCAACAGATTCAGACCAGGAAAGGGAGAGAGGCGTCGCCAGCTGCTGAAAGACAGAGAAGGTTGGTGGTGGTGCAAGGCTAGACCTACAGCAACCACGGCAAGGATGTCAGGCACGGAAATGAGCAAGTCCCTGTTTCCTCTCTGCCATGTTCGTTTGCTGGATTCATGGTGAAAGCTGTTGCTGCCCCTGAGGGAATCCTCCCTTGCATATTTTGCCAGAGCAGACGTGCCATATACTTCATTCTTAGTTTGCAGAACGCAAGCCCTTACGCGTTAAAAATATAAACCGACCCCCGAAACGTATTTCCCCTACCTCCCACTAAAAAGAAAATCTAATGCTAAAAATATAGGTTTCTTTGAATATATAATATATAATAGATCRTATAAAAACATCTAAAGAGGCAGACTTGCTTATTTGTATCTGAATTTACAGAGCTTTTCGTTTTCTCTAGGCACAATTCAGGAGGGAGGTTGAACCCAGAGAATCCAGAAGGGACCTTTATTTGCCTGCTAGCTAATTATCACATGTTATACCTAGGAACTTCCCTGGACAGAAAATTAAAAAAGAAAAAAAAAAAAAAAAAAGAAGAAGAGAGGAAGAGAAAGAGAGAGAAACAAATAGAGAGAAGGCTTGAGGAAATCTTGAGGAAATTGCACATAGTCTACAGAGTCCTAAGTCACCAGGAATCTCATTTCTTGGATCTGGTTTTGCAGGTGCTCACTTTTAACCCAAAAGGAACTTGTGCCTTGTCCATTTCCACGAAAACAGAAGTGATAATTCTTTAAAACAAGTTTTAAAAAAAAGTACTGTTATGKATCTTCTTTTGAGGAAACTCAATAACCAGAGACTTCCAAGGTGTCCTTCAAAGATGTACCAAGTGATTCCTGCGACACTATTTTTTCTTCCCCTCGATGTTTTCATGAATATTCTTGCTATGAAGCCAATAAGAGTCACTGCATTTGTCTCTGTTGCTAGAAAATCTKGTCCCTTCTGAGCTCCAGCAGCATGGGCGAGCATCCTGCTAACAGGTAACGTTTATGTGGGCTTGGTGCGGTCCTCTGAGTCATGAATGGCCTCTTATAAAAAGGACCCCACACTGATCCAGTCGTTCACATCCGCTGGCAAACAAGTGTCGTTGGGTTCAAACAGCTGGTCCATGCTGACGGCGCTGGAGAGGTAATCGTTCCTCCCTTCATCCCAGGGATGCTGAAGGTAAGACGTGGCCATGAAAGTTTCATCAAAGTCCAGGCTGTTCTGGTTGGTTTCGGTCAGGACCTGGTCGTGCCCAACAGGGCACCACTCCTGCGGACAGTCGATGTGCCGACCGTGCACCGTCAAGTCCACGTCTCGAGTTATCGGGCTGATGGGAGGTGTGAGCTCCAGATCCTCGAAAGAGGAGAAATCACCAGTCAGGGTGGTGTCAAAGATGGCTTCCCAGTCAAAATCCCCTTTGAGCGATCCCAGCTCCGTTTGTTCTTCCTGTGTGAGCAAGGGCGAGCTGGAGAGCCGAGCTGACTTGGCCGTCCGTTTGGGCATTGGCTGCTTGCGCTTGTGGCCTGCTTTCCCATCTGCTGGATTCCAGTTCTGATCGCTGGTGACTTCTTCAAACTCTTTCAGTAGCTGCTGCGACTCCATGTTGACGTTCAGGACATTGTTGCTGGTCCAGGAGGAAACTGCTGGGCCAGAGACAGACTTTGCTTCTTGCTGGACTCTATTGGTAAAGGCCGGGTGGATTTGGACTGGGGGCATCCTCCGTTTTTTGAAGGCGCCATTCATGAGCCGGTCGGCATATTGGGGGTCAATCTTCCAGAAGCCACCCTTCCCTGGCTCATCCTTCTCTCGGGGCACCTTGATGAAGCACTTGTTCAAGGACAGGTTGTGCCGGATGGAGTTCTAAACCCAAAAGAGAAAACAGCAAGGTTGACCATCTGCACTCCACCTTAGGACCTACCTGGAGGGGCAGGTTGGAGAGGCTGGTGGAAAAGCACATCCTCAGCAAGAACCTTTGGCAAAGAGAGAACAGAAATCATGAACATGGAAGACGTTCCAGGCTATGTGTCCCACAGAAACTCCCCTGCCCCAAGTCAGCAGGGCAGTTTTCTTGCCTCCCACCTCATCTATCCTGAAACGGCAGCAAGCAAGGAGCTCAAGCTGGGACTTGCCAACCAGCAGGAAATATCTGAGGAACTTTCCTTGGCTTTAAATGGSGACATGGGGCTTTGGATCAAACAGTTCACTGGGTTCAAAAAGAGCCTAACCTGCTCCAAGCACGAAGGAGAACATCACGCCCTGACTAGTGGCTATGGAGAAAGAGCACAGATTTTACACTAGTGTGGCCACAGCACCATCACAAATGGCACCACACAGTCCATTTGTGTTTAATACTAATGCCAARGGGAAAATACACGGCCAAAAGTTAGCCCGAGAACTTCCCTGCTCTCGGGCTGGCACTAGAAACAAGGTGGGCCAAAGGGGTCGGGCACATGGGCTCTGCAGGTCCTGAGCAGCCCTGGCACCGAGCAGCCCTGCAGCTGTGGACCAGGGTGCTGGGCCTCGCACACCCAGAGGCTGGGCTCCCTCACCTTACCTGTCCCTGAGTTGCCCCTCAATTAAATTCCTGGGTTTCATTTCCTTGCACCAAAATCACTGCATCTTCAACTACCCAAACTAGCAGGGGGAAGGAAAAAAAAAATTAGTTTTTGCTCCTGTTGTGCTGTTTGGAAGCCCTGAATGCGCTTCGAGTGGTGTGAAAAATCAGAAAGGAAACTCAGTTATTGGGTAAATAACACAGCATTGGATTCCACCAAGTGAAGACTGTATTAAGAGATTGACTATGGTAGAAAAGTTGGGTTTTTTTTTTTAATGTTGCCTGGATATCTTTATGCTTATTCATCCAAAATCCATAGTGCTGAGTGGCAAAAACAAGGCTTGAATGCTCAGAGCTGTTGAAAACCACACAGACACGGACACACAAAACAAAACCCTCCTCTCAGCTGCAGCTCCTTGGGTGTGTTGGCTCCTCTCCAGAGCACTCAGCTCCCACAGGAATCTATCCCTCTCCCCCTGGAGCATGGGTGGCATGACCTTTGCAGGCTGTCTTCACATACGGGAAGCGGGGTGAGGGATGAGAATACAGTCTCAATGGGCAAAAAGAAACAGAAAAAGAAAAAAAAACTTGCAAATGTTCTAGACTGCGGCAATTCCAAATTTAGAGTTTAATGAAATTTTACAAGGGTCAGAGAATTGCAGGCTGAATTCTCTGCTCCCCTTCACCCCTCCCCATCCCAGATTTCTTCAGCCTGCCTGGGTTGCCGTTGTTATTACCCAGCCAGTTAACATATTTATCATTCTTCCCTGCAACAAGCCAGCGAGCCCCCTGCATGTGTGCGGAGAGGGATTGAAAATCCTTCTTTCTTTTTTAATAAACCCATTTAATTAAAAACAAAGTGATTATCCAGCCAGGAGTTTGCAGGAAAAAGGCAAAAACGTGGGCACCTGAGCACTCCCCTCGCCAACACACCAGCACATCCACCAGCACGGAGGAAGGCTGGGATCACACTGGTTTTCCAAGGAGGAAACATCCCGCGACTCCCGTTGGTGTGACCCTCCTGTCCTTGGGTGGGTGCTGCGTGTGTTGGCAGCCCCTTTGCATGGCAGAGGAGGAGTCCCAGGGCACCAAGGCCGGGAAAAGCCCCTGTGCTCTACCCAGCGAYGCCAGGGCTGCCAGCCCTGCTCCCTGGGGATGAGGAGGCTCTTTGGTCTGTTGAGGCCTGACCAGCTCATCACAGTGATGGACTCAGAGGCCCATCCCTGTTGGAAAAGACAGGCAAGCTTTCCCTTCCCTCTCGGAAAGCAGCAGCATCCTTGCCTTAAGCAATCCCAGTTGCAGGATCCTCCCGGCAAGCGGCACCCCGCCACGGTCCCTGGTGTCCCTGCTCCTGCCCTTGGTCGTCAGCACCCCCGGACAACCCGGCTGGGTGCCGCGAGGTGTGTGCCGAGCTCCCAAGGCAGCTCGCAGGGCGCTGGGAGGCTGCAGGGACACCCGCCGYAAGCAGGCACAGCCCCGCGGCCACCTCCCTGCCCCTAAAATGGCCCTCGCTCTTCCCGAAATGGCTCCCGGCTCCTTTTCTAAGGATAAAGTTCTGGCGGGGACTCTTTGCCGCTTGGGGCTCCCTCTAGGCACCCCAGCCCGTTCCCTCCCGCCTGCCTCTCTCCTCCCGCCGTGCYGAATCCTCCCCTCTCCCGGTGGGAAAGGAGAAATCCTGGGTCTCCCTATCCCTGCTGGATAATAACTAACTCAGCAAGGGCAAATTCCTGCTTGCACTAGGTGTATCCCTGCAGCCAGCTTTGGGATGAGCACCTCGGTGGGGAGGAAGAGCTGTTACTGCTGCCAGGAAGGCTCTTCTGCTCGAGGTGCTTGGGCTACGGAGACACTCTTATCCCTGCAGATCTATCTGAAACTGGCAGCCAGGTCTCCATAGCACACAGAGGGACAGGGTGCGTTGGCCACCCCAACGTGTGCAGCCTCCTCCTTGTTTCTGGGGCACTTTGGCTGCTTGGCCTCGCGTCGCACGGCACAAGCTGCAGCAAACCCCACAGGCAGGTCTAGCTCTGAGGAGTTGGGGAAGAGGAAAGAGGAGAAGGTTTCCTGGCCACCTACCTGCCAGGTGGGGTCGGCATGCCGAAAGTAGCAGAAGTTGTCGGTGATCCACTTGTAGATGGCAGAGAGGGTGATTTTCGTCTTCTTGCTGGCTTCCATTGCCATGCAGATGAGCGTGGCGTATGAGTAGGGTGGTTTCACGTGCGGGTTGGTCTTGTAGTCTATGTCTTCCACGGGCTGCGTGTTCATGCCCATGCCGAGGTGAGCGGTCCTGGGGGTCGAGGAGGAGATGGGCTTGCCCGGCGTGTGAGGCATCCCCATGCACGCRGGGTCAGCAGCAAGTGGGGAGCATGGTGCCACCGAGCCAGGCACCTTGTGGTAGTCGTGCGGGTCGGTGCCACTGGGCGACGAGGACGACTTGCCCACGCTGGTGTTGAGGATGGAGAACTCCTGGAGCCACTGGAGGCTCGTGAGGCTGTCATCCAGGTTGCTCGAGTCGMCCATGCTGCTCTCGTGCCCTCTTTCCTCTTCTGAGTGGAAGTTCAACCAGCCGTCAGCCATGCTCAGGGAGCCTGCAGTGGGGCAGTCCCGCATCCACGGGACCCGTGGCAGGATCGCAAGACCAGGGGGCAGATCCTGCAAAGCAAACAGGACACAGTCAAGGTCCCCATCGGGCAGATGGCTCCTGTGCCCAGTGCTCTCCAGGCCGCTCAGTGAAGCCCTGGGGCCCCTTCATGGCACATTGCGCCTCCTCTTCCTCGTGCTCCCAGCAGAGCTCCAGCCTGCAGCAGCTCAGGGGGAACCTCCCTGCAACCCCTGCCCGGAGCACGCAGCTTGGCCCCCAAATCCAGCAGCGTGGTCCAGCAAAACAAGGATGTCCTTCCCGCAGGATCACAGGCTGAGGAAGCACCTCCGCCTTCCCCCTTTTCCAGTCTCTGGGTTTTGCGTTATTTTACTTTATTTCACTCCTGCTGGCAGCTCCGGAGCAGCGGAGGGCGCGAGGGCGAGCCCCTCCCCAGCACGCTCGCTTGGCCTGTGTCTTTGCGCCAGCCTGGGGTAACGCAGCGTCTAAGAGCCAGGGGAAGCGCCGGGGCCTGGGTGGGCAAAGCCGCCGGCCATGGGCTCCCGAGCCCTGCCACGCAAAGCCCTCGCAGCGCTGCTCACCCCGGAGTTCCTGCGCGGCACCGCAGCAACAGGTCAACAAAACAAATACATCAAAATAAATCATTTAAATAAATGATAAACAAATCACCAACCCACCGAGCCCCCGCCGTGCCCTCCCCMCCACCCCACCCAGGCCCTCCACTCCGGGCCCTCACCCCGTCCCGGCGATGTCCCCCCCGGAGCGAGGCAAGGAAGGTTCTGGAGAAAKGGCACCACCAAAAAAAAAAAAAAAAAGGAAGAAGACAGGAAAGCTGCGGGAGGAGAGCGCGGCCGAYCGGGGGCGCGGGCCCGCCGCGGCCTCGGGGCGCCCTCCGCGCCGCGCCGGGTCTGTCACCGCCCGAGCGCGGCCATTAAGTAGCGGCCTCGAAAGGCTTGGGCGGTTGCTAGGGCGACGCGCCGCCCCGGTAAACAGCCTCGCGGCCGCCCATTGGCCACGGCGTTGCCATGGCGAGCGGCGCGCGCGGGGCCGCTCGGCGCGCGCGGGGCCGCGGAACCCGCCTCGCCCCCCCCCCGCCGCGGGGGGAGTTCCCGGGAAAACAGCCCTTGTTCCCCGCGAGGAACCCGCGCCCCGTGGGATGAGGGACCCGCGCCTGCACCCCCAAAAACCACTGCAGACAAGGGGCCGACGTGGGATACCCTTTATTAAACATATTTTTAAAACCCGAAACATGCTTAAAGTGAAGTCGGAGGCAGCAGCCAGCTCCCTTAGCCACCCCTCTGCCGGGAGCGTCCCCGGGATGAGCAAGCRGCCGCTGCCTCTTCTCCCGCTCCGTCCATCCCGGTTCCTTCCCTCTCAGCAGCCCAGGAGAGCTCCCCTCGCGTGATGTCCCCGCGGGGAGGAGGAAGGGACATTGCCAGACAGAAGAGCCTTCCCGCTGCGGGATTGCACAGCTCCGCACAGCCGAGAAACCCCGGAGCGGAGACACTGCGGGAAGCCCAAGGTCTCCCCGGGCCTCCGCAGGTGCCRGTGACTCCCGCGGGCCAGGAGAGCGGAGCCCAGGAGCCCGGAGCTGACTGCRGCTGTGCCCTTGCTCCGGAGTGTGTCCCCATGGTCCTCCTGCTGCCCTCTGCCCTTAGCAGGTCCCAGCTCACCGGAGGCTTCAGCTTCCTCCTGCCCCTAACCCAGGGGTTCAAGAAATTCGGGAAGACCAAAGCCTGCAGGACGGCTGGCTCGCATAGCCAAGTGCCGAGGCGCAGAGAGGAGGCCGGGGGAGAAAGGAACATGGTGTGGGATGGCGGCCACGATGCCTGGAGGAGGCAGCTTTGGATCCTAGCTAAGACCTTAGCTTTAGGTGGCTTTAGATCACTCTGGTACCACTGAGAAACCTGCGTGAGGGGGGAAGAGGAGGCTCAGCCTCATCATCGGGGCCCAAGCCGCTCCAGGAGGAGCTAAACAGGGATCTGGAGTCTCATGCTTCCCAAAGGGACCCTCAAGGGACCCTGACCCAGCTGCTTTGCGGGGGCTGCATGGGGACTGAGTTCCTACTGCTGGCCCGAGCCCTCTGTGGGATCCCCCCAAATCCCAGCGATCCCAAGCCGCCCCATCCTCATTCCTGCCTGGCCGAGCAAACACTGAGGGGAGAACAGAGGGGAGAAGAGATGAGGGGATGGAGACATGGGAGGGGGGCAGCGCCTGCAGCCCCATCCCCTCCCTGCTACAAAGTGCTCCGGAGAGAGCAGGGCCGGAGCTGCGGGCTGGCGCTTTTGGCACTTGTTCCGGAGAGAGGGCCCAGCCCGAGCACCATGCGGTGGAAGACAGTGACATTGAAGGACCCTTGGCCTCGGAGACAGGGTGGCAGGGGCAGAGCCGAGGCGGGAACATCGTTCTACACCAGCACACCCCGGGAGGACAGGCCCCGGGCATCCCTCTGCCGGTGTCGGTGACCGGGAAGAGGAGCACAGGGAACACGACGGGCTCCAGCGTCACCTCATCCGTGCGCAGCGAGGTGTGGGCAGGGCTTCCCGCGGCGCGGCGCCCGGGGAGAGGATGTGAGGTTACCGGATTGTGAGGAATCCCTATGGCTGCGGCAGAGGAGGGCCCGGGGCCCGCGGCACAGAGCCTCGGACGGGCAGCGCTCCCGCGGGCCTGGCACGCTGCTGGCGCTGCCGCTGCCCGACCCTCGTGGCAGCTGCTTTGAGGCCTGGCAGAGAGAAGGCGCAGGTTAGGGGCATGGCAGGCGGATGGTGAAGCTGCCCTCACCGCTAGCTGGGGATGGTTTGGGGCTTAAAGAGGGAAAAAAATGCCCTGGAAATGCAACCCAGGCTCCTTTCCTGCAGGGCCTGAACAGGGAGCATCACAGCTCTACATCACAGCTCTACAAGCTGTAGAGCAACAATGTGGAAGAGGCGAACAAGGGCCCAAAGGCCCTTGTGGTGGGGGAAGAGCGTCCTTCAAAAGCAGGGCAGGACCCGCTGCGGCCAGGCAGACCCAGATGGCCGTGTGCCCCACGGCCACATGGCCTTCGCAGGGACCTAAGGAGGATTGCAAAGCGCTGCCGGCAGCTCAGCTCGGCCGCTGGCACGGGGAAGGAGAGGGCTCCACCTCCCGACGCTCTGCCGGACGCTCTCACCGCACTTAGGGCAGAGCTCGTGCCGGTGGCTCCAGCTGCGTTCCCAGGGTTACCTGTCCCGGCTGGCTGTGGGAATGGGGAGAGCTCGTTAAACCCCTTGTTTGCTTGGAATTCCCATGGGGCCAAAGGGAAGAACAGGGGTGATTTGAGGGCTCGGCCTCTGCCCACCACGAGGACATACAGGTGGGCTGAAGATGGGGCCATAAGGGATGGCATATGGAAACGGCCAGCTGGGCAGTAAGAGGTGGCCACCGAGTCCTGGTCTTGATGACAAGATCCTTATGTCCCATGTCCCCATGGCGCCTAGCTGCTCGGGGACGGGAGCAGGGACCGAGCTGCCTCCTGTGCAAGGACACGAGGTGCGCGCAGGGCTCCTACCTAGTCRTCAATGTCAATGGGACAGGAATCCRGCCCAGCGGCTGCGTGTGGAGAGAGAGCAGAAGGCAACAGTGAGCACGGCGAGAAAATGCCACCACCACGCGCCCCAGGCATGCCGCCGGGTAACACAGCACCAGGCAGATGTCACGGGGGAATGGCCCTTGCCACCTGGCTGCATCCTGCACCTTTGCAAYCTTCCAGAGCACCAAGGAAGACTCCAGTGCAAGGGTATCCATGATGGACTCAGCCACCCGCCAGGCACCTCTCCATCCTCTCCTGTCCTGCTTCCCACCTGGGTCAGGGCGAAGGGCTGAGCAGGGGGTATCCTGCTTTCTGCCACCTCAACACCAGGGGCACCCATAGACCAGGGTGGCTCCCCCAGCCCAGCAAACCTAACCCCCTTAGYGTCCCCAGGCTAGCGGGGCCCTGCAAGGACACCGTGCCAGCTCGCCCTAGGGGAGTTTTCAAAGAGGAAGCAACAACAAAATAATAACACGCCGCTGACTGCTGATTTATGGAAGGTGACAGCTCCCATTTCGGACGGCTTTTCACGTCAAGCCCACTCGAGGAGCGAGGCGGATTAAGGCTGCAGATCCCRGAAGGGATGGAGAATCAAACAGGACCTCACACAGACATACGCCAAAATCCCACTAAGCGCGAGCGYTACATTGCACAAGGCACCCTGGTGTCACTGCGTCTCCGTGCAGGGATTTAGATGAGCCCACCGTGTCCTTGGAGGGAGCATGGGGAAGGTGGCTCCAGCCCTCTGGCACACAACCCATGGGAAGCCACCCCTGCCTTTAGCCTCARACCTGTCCTGAGCACAGGACCAGCTCCCCCAGGAGCATCTCAGAGAAATGCAGGGCCTCGCTGAGCCCATCGCATCAATGTACTGGAAATGAGGTTGGGAGAAAACACTTTTTTTTAAAAGCTTTCATTAAAATAAAACGTGTTCCCAAAGTAAAAATACGCATTATTCTTGCGCATTCCATGGATACAGGCACAACTGAATCTATGAGAATGGATGAACTGAGCGCAGGGCTGGCAGGCAAACACCAGCCGTGATTTACCATGGAAAATTTCCACATTAGTCCAACCTGTGATGCTGGCAGCGAGCTCCAGATGGCTCACGGGAGCAGGGAGCTGCCTATGCTTGTCCCGGATAGACCTCTGGATGAGCACCTACTTTCAGTGCATCGAAACCAGCAATGCTGCAGAGCTCAAACGCCAGCAGCTCTGACACGAACACCGAGTTCTCCCTCAAATCACGTCCCCTGCAAAACTAGCAAGGTCCAAAGGGCCAGTGYGGGCTGATTAAGCATGAGAGGAGATGTGGCCTGGGGAGAGGGCAGCGAAAAGGCGGCTGGTGCAGGACGAGGAAGGAGCTGCCTCGCCAAAGCAGCATTGCAAAACCCCTTTTGCACCCAGGAGGCTCCCCAAGCATCGCTTTGCATCTCGCTGTGGGTAGCGAGCCAGGCTGGAGATTTTCCCGCTGCCTGAGGATGCACTTGCCAAGGGCAGAGTAGCGCCCATAAGCTAATTCCCTGCTCGCTCCATCCCTGAGCTCTAGGCCAGCACCAGGGTTGCCGCGGAATTTTGGGAGCAAAGCAGCCTTTCCCTTGCCCTTGTCTTGTTGGCTTGGGAACTGAAAAAAGGCCCCAGGGCCACCAGGGTGCTTCCAAGCCAGGCACCCCATTCGCAGCACCCAGGTCTTTGATCCCAGCTGCCRATGTTGAGCAATGGGATGAGGTGTCTGGGCAGTGGCTACAGTTTCCTGCTCCTCACCATGTTTCTCTGGAGCAGAAACAACAAGGAACAGGCTAGCCAGGAAGCGTGAGGGGCAGTGGGAGGTAAAGCTTTCCCGGAGGAAACGGGATGGCAAGAAGGGACCTGCTCCCCATCCCCAAAGCTGGGCTCTCCGGCACTGGCGGTACTTGCAGGGCCAGTACCTGCCCCAGCTTTTCCATCTAGGAGTGAGGCCAGGCCGAGCTGCAGGGCAGAGCTGCTCATGCAAATGTATGGGCACAAGAGTCCCGTGGCCGGGCATCACCCATACATTTGTCACCCCACAGCTGGACAGGAACAGGATGCAAGCAGGGGCTGAGGAACCGTGTTGGCACGGAGCGAACATGAACTTCCACATGGAGCCTGGGGGGAGGCAGGGGCTGAGAGGGTTGGGGAGTGAGGAAACAGAGATGAAAAAGAGGAATAAAAAGTGTGAAGAGATGGAGGAGAGGGATGGATCCTTGGGGCTCTGCTAGAGCTGAAGCACTTCACCCTCGCCAAAGCAAAAGCCCAACAGGCATCAGGAACCCATTGGGATGGGGCATGTTGGCCTCCTGCTGCCGGGTAGCTCTGTGCCTGGTGGGCAGCCACACAGTGGGATGGACAGTGGGATGGAGATGAGGATAGATGACAGTGAGAAAGGGCAGGAAGATCAGGAGGACGGGGAGTGACACAGGGCAGAGCAAAAAATGTCCCCCCCAGCCCGAGTTCATGTTCGGCAGGCGGCCACTCACCAGGTAAGCAGGCCTCAGAGCACAGCTTATTGTCCAGCACTTTCACGTGTGCGATGGCCACGTCATTGTTATTGTCGCAGCGCAGACCGAGGAAAGCGCCTGTCCTCGGGCCTGAAAGGGAGCGAAGGCGGTTAGAGCCGCGGCTCGGCCAGGCCGTGCAACAGCCGGGGCTTCTCCTACCTCCTCCCCACCTCTAAAACACGTTGAGAGAGGGAAATGAGGTGTCTAAAGAAAGGGAGAATCGAGAAGGTGATAGGCATGCAGCAAGGCTGCACACGGGCACAGTGCCAGCTGCTGCTGTCCTTGCTGGAGGCGCAAGAAGGAACCGGCACGTGGCTGTGGATCAGGGAACAGGCAGCCAAGAGCTGCTGGAGAAGCTCTGGAAGCGRCCCACGCTGGGACCCTTCCCCATGTTTCGCCTTCTGGTGCCTACGGTCCAGATCAGACACATCCACAAAGGGCGGCACACGGATGCGGGAAAGCACGGAGCCCAAAGCTCGCCCAGCTGCCACCGTGTGTCCAACGGACCTTTCCCCAAGGCAGAGCCCACAGAGGGGCCATAGCGGCCCTGTGGGGGACTCTGGGGGGACGTGGCATCCATGGTAATGCCTGAGGAGGCAGCAGCCCAAGGCGAGTACCAAGAAGCCATAGCCAAGCCTTGCACGGGGCCGGGGTTGAGGAAGGACAAGTAGGATATGCTCCTTAGCGTGACTTGAGCCAGTAGATCTGCAGCTGTTGTTTTTGGTTTTTTTTTAAGTTCATCTACTTGATGCAAGAGACTAAACTTCAGGAGAGATATTTGGCCCCAGGATCTCTTCCTAAGGAGCGACCATCCTGCTCCAAGGTGCTGGAGCTGGAAACCTTCCATGACAGGTTTGCTTGCTGGCGCCTGGCACCGCAGGAGAGCAACAGTTCTTGTACAAGCCTCACGAGGAAGGGGGCCCTGGGCCCTCAGRGATGTCACCAAGTGCCATTAACAACCTCTCTAGGCACCCAACTTCTYGTATTTCCATCTCACCCTGAGCAAGAATCTAATCCCAGGGCAGAGACTATTCCTGCCCTTGAGAACACGATGCCGGGACAGAGCACATGGCTGGGCTCTTGCTCTCCAGCTTGTCTGAAGGATGGGGAGAAGTTCGGATTTACTTTTGGCACAAACATGCAGTCACAGAAGGGGGGACACAAGGAGCCTCCTGACCTTCTCCCAGGAGATCCAAGCTGGGAGGTGGGTGGATAGCACGGGGGTGACTGGGAGCCCTCAAGATACCCAGGGTGACTTGCTAAGCCATGTTGAGAACAGGCAAAAATAATTAATAGAACAGCCTAAAGGGATTAGTCTTGCAACCCTTCCCTAAAGAAACCAACGCAGACTGGGAGTATTTAAGGAAAACGTCTTCAAAGATGCACAGAGGGATCGTGGCYGACTGGTTCTGCCCCAGCCCTGCGAGCCTTTGTATAGTAGGTGCTTTCCCAGATCCCGAGTGCTCCTGACACAGCCAGCGTTGCCTGGAGAAGGACACGAGGACCCCAAGGAGCTGGGGATGACCCAACAGCTGTGCTGGCTCCCTGTGGTTTCGGAGGGGATGGTCCCATCTGCCCACCAGTGGCTCCCGAGCCGCAGAGGAGGGGATGACACTCCGAGGCCCTTTACCGTCTTCCTGCGTGGGAGAGATGTCCTCGTCTTCCAGCACGTCGTTACCCTGGGGTGAGAAGCAGCAAGCATGAGCAGCTCCAAGAGCCGAGGTGTCCCGGGTCCACTGCTCTTTTCCAGGTCCCCCCAGGTCGCTGACCCCGGAGGGCCCATTCCCAGCCCAGGAAAGCAAGGTGGTGCACAGCACGGCTGGCACTGTACGGAATGGCCCCATCTCTCCTCAGAAAGCACCCTGGCAAGGGGCAATGTGCCATGCGGGGCAGCCCTCGGTGCTGGCTCTCACCTCGGCATCACGCTCCTCGGCAGAGATGCTGACGAAGTTGAGATCCGGGGATTCCACAGGTGTCGACTGTGGGAGGAGAGTCGAAAAGAAGCAGGAAAAACAAGCAAAAATAAATTAATTGCTGGCAGATTTGCAGGGGGAGCTCTGTCTTTTGCCCATGGGGTGCACTCGGTGCTGCAAATGTCCTCGCCTGCCCTGTGGTCCAGACAGGGCGATGGTGGCTATGCCAGCCCTACCTCTCCTTCRGAGGTCACGGCGCTGGCCGCCGCCGGTGACGGGAGCATGTCACCCTCCTCCTCCGTGCCAGGAGCGATATAGGAGCCTGACATGGAAGAGACGGTGTCGGTGCTGATCTGAGAGTGCTGGCTCTGCGAGGAGGCCATGGACATGACGGACTGGGCCAGACTGCTGCTCACAGGGTCTGGGGGCAGAGTAGAGGCTGAGCCTGGGGGACACGGTCCCCACAGAGACCCCCGGGCTGGTCCCAAATGGCAGCAGGCATCAGCTGTACCTTCTGGGGATGAGATGGTGGAGGAGAGCGGGGTGCCAGTGCACGAGGACTGGTCGATGGCTCCTGACGAGGACAGGGTGAAGTTCTCACTCTCGGGCGTCACGCCGCATTCCTGGGGCAAGAGACAAGAGGCCGTTGGGATGGGGTATATAGACCTTGTGGACTGCAGCCTCCAGCCGGGYAGCCATGGGCGTTCCATCTCCCTCTGCCCTTCCCTGAGGATGCCCCAGAGGGGAAAACCCAAGAAACCCACCCAGAGACTGCCGGGTTGAGGAAAGCTGCCCCAAACCACCTCCCCGACCCGGCACTCAGCTCCTCACCAGCTCTAGGAGAGCAAACGCCTCCTCCAGGGGTGCAAACGGGGCTAAGAGCGTGGCCCAGCTTGGAGTGGCCGGCTGCTCACCTCCTCGTGCCGAGCAGGTGACTTCCTCGGGACAATCCTGACCTCTGACTCGCTGTAGGACTTCTCCTCATCCTCTTCGGGCAAGATGGAGGAGCTCTGCGAGATGGACCTGGCCAGAGCACAGGGCTTTGCTGGACGCCAGCAACCCCACCAGCGACCCTGCGGGAGCAGCCCGGGCCTTCCGAGCGCCCCGTTCGCAGGGAGGCGGCCACGACACTCACTTGGACAGGCTCTTCTTCAGCTTGAGCCCCTGGCTGTGGCCGTCGAGGGGCGAGAGGGCGCGCAGCGGCGGCAGGCGGCCCTCGCCGCCGTAGGAGGGCAGCGGCCCCGCGCCGCGGCCCTCGCCCAGCGCGCGCATCCGCGGCCCGGCCGGTGACGGCGCCAGCGGCCCGTTGAGGGCCTCCAGCAAGGACACCACCTCGTAGCCCGGCGGGATGTTCTCCGAGGACTGGCAGGGGCAGAGGACGGGGGTGAGCGGCCGCGGTGCTGCCCTCCCTGCCCCGCTCCCAACGGCACCCGGACAACCCCCCGTGCGCGCGGGAGCCCCACGCCGGAGCTCATGGGGGTCTCTGCTGCCCAGGGTGGCTCCAGGTGCCGCACGAAGCCGCTGCGGCACTGACCGAGTGCTCCTCCGAGTCGGAGGCCTGCGAGGCAACGATGGGGTTGAAGCTGGTGGGGGACAGCGGGCCCAGCTTTTTCCTCATGGCTCGGATCTGCAGCAAGGCGCGGAAAGCTGCAAGACAGGCAGCACCGAGCGGGTAACGATTTGAGGCTCAAACCTGCCCCAATGGCACCCGCTGCCCGCGTGCCGGGGCCTTACGCAGGCGGCAGATGGGGCAGTTGTTGGCCTGGTAGCGCAGCGTGTCGGCGCACGTGTTGCACAGGCAGAGGTGGCGGCACGGCAGGATGAGGGTGTCGCGCACATCGGAGAGGCACACGACGCACTCGGCGCTGTTGTCGCTCACCTCGTCCTCGGCCACCTGGCGAGGGCGGGAAATGCTCGGCCCCTTGCAGGGACAACAGCGAGGGCACAGGGCCTGGATCCTGGCTCCCCGGAGCACCCGCTTATGTCCCCACACACCTTGCAGTCCTGCGTGTTGTACTTGTTCTCGATGCCGTAGATCTCCTGGAGGAGGTAGCTTACGCCGTCCACCTGGAATTGCCAGCAGGAAATCATAGAATCCTTAAGGTTGGGAGGGACCTTTGGAAATCATCTAGTCCAACCCCCCTGCACACGCAGGGTCACCTAGAGCATGTTATACAGGATTGCGTCCAAGCAGGTTTTGAAGATCTCCAAAGAAGGAGAYGCCACAACCTCTCTGGGCAGCCTGTTCCAGTGCTCTATCACCCTCACTATGAAGATTTTTTTCCTTAAGTTCCCGTGGAACATTTTTCCCGTGCTTCAATTTGTGGTGAGCAGCGGTAGGGTGGCACCCCCAAGACATGGGACATCAGGAAGAGCTGCTCTGCCTCAGTGGGAGCCACCACTCCAGACATCCTGGAGACCCTCTGCACCCTCCCCATGACCTGCCATGGTGGCCCCTTCCCCGAGAGGAACAAGGATCCCATCAGGACACACTCACCACTTGCTTCTGCTTGAGGGGCTTCACGCAGATGGTGCCGTCGGTGTGCTGGGGGCAAGCAGGCGAGTGAGCAGGTGACGGACAAGGACAGAGATCACCACGCTGTGTGCTGGTACCCACCCATCACCCAAGTGATCAAGCAGCCAATTTTCYAGCAAGATCTGGCTTTTCCCAGCACCCCATGATCAGGGTAAAGTTTGGGATGTTGCCCAGCTGGGGCGCAGGGTKCAAGGGGATTTCTTGCTTGGTCAGACATTTGTTGGACCAGCAAAGAAGGTATCAAGAGCAAAAGCCTCAAAACTAGGTGCCTAAAAAAATCAARCACTTTTGGGAAGATCCCCAAAGGCAGCTTGAGTTTCAGGAGCTGCTCGGAACCAAACCAAGCCAAGTCTAGAAGGGAAACCAGCAGGCTCAGGACACCCCAGGCCAGCACTTACCTTCTCAAAGGTGGCCAGCAGCACGTGAGAGTGGCCCATGTGCTCTGCAAGACATGACGAGGCAGGCAGGGCTCAGGGGAGGGCAGCCTGGTCCCCAGGGCTGCCTGGAGCCAAGGGCAGCAGCGCTGGAGACCTCGCCTCTGTGGCAGCATTGTCCTTACCGTCCCCTTCATCCACCACGGCATGCACCACCATGGGGTACACCTCCCGGTCCAGGTCAAAGCCCAGCTGCAGAAGCAGAAGGAAGTAGTTACGTGCAAGAAGCAACAGGAGGAATAGCCCTGGCCAGCTGCCACCTGAGCCCAGGATCAATCCTGGGCTGCAGGACATGCYGGGCAGAGCATGTCCCTGTGGTGGACAGCTGGCCAGGTTACTGCTGGCTCTGCATTGTAGGAGCATTTCCACCACCACCTTGAACCTCAGGCAGGTCCATCCTGCCCTGAGCTACAGGGCTCTGGTGTTGAGACCCCGCCAGGACCCCATATCCACGAGCAGGATGGCTCATGTGCTGGACACGTGGCCGTACCTCCTCCTCTGGCCACTCCGAGGGGTCCACGGTGTGCGAGGGCATGCAGAACTGCTGGCATACCCCCCGTTTGTAGTGCGCCGTCTCCGACTGCAAGCTGTTGTCCTTGGGGATGTAGCTGCCCAGAGGGGACAAGACAAGGTTAGCAGCTGCCAGATCAGATCTTCGAGGTTTCAGTCCTGATGTCCATCCCCAGCTCACGATGGTGCTGGGAAGGCAAGAGTCATTCCCCCACTGCCCTCCTGGCTGCCTCTTGGGGCCACTGAGGCAAGAAGTCCCTTGAAGGGCTCAACCAACCCACAGCTCTCCTGAAGCCCCAATGTTCAGGCAACCAACCTGATGCCAAAGGGGCATAGGGARGGGTTTCACAGCTTTGACACAGAGATAACAAGAAGCAGCGAGATGGGAATGGGAATCAAAATGAGGCAGCTGCCGATACGAAGGGATGAGGAGCTACAGCCTCAGCTCAGTGACGGGCACAGCTCAAAACCTGGGAGATGGGTCCAGCAGCACCATACCAGTGTCCTTACCTTGCCACTCCGTTCTGGAACTCCTCRCTCGCCTGGTAGTAGATGGTTATGGCGACACGGGCGTCTGTGTCGAAGGTGAACTCCACGTTGTAGTGCACCTTTGCCTTGCTCACCTCTTCCCCCAGTGTCTTCACCTCTTCCGAGCACCTGGGCAGCAGGGAGGGTTGCTGACAAGCAGGGACATTGGGGAACCTGGGGCACCATCTTGCTGGGACATGGCAGGCAGATTTCAGACATAATCCTGAGCCTTCCTCCCTCGGCTGCCATCCCTCATCCTCCCTCCAATAAGCCCTCGGAAAGGGCAGGGGGAGGGCGAGAAAGTAAATCCTTCAAAGGCAGCGTTAAGCTCCATTTAATCCTGCCGCCCTCAAGAGCCCGGTGGAGAGCACATGGAAAGCAATGCCCTTGGCTGCCAGCAGCTCCCGGCCCCACGGGAAATGCTTCCACACCGGGAATTACAGCAGCACCGGAGCGAGTAGATCGTGCATGGAAGGAGCTATTGGAGCATGGAAGGAGCTATTGGAGCATGGAAGGGTTGCAGCCCCCTGCAACCAGGGCTGCTGGCACCTGGCCCTCCGTGTCTGCTGGCAGCGAGGCCAGAGGCACCCGAGGACACCGTGCTCGTGGGTCATGTTGGCCCGCAGGGACAAACTGCCCCCCTGCAAAGCAGCCCCTCAGCCCGGCCTTGAGGCACTCCACTTACTTAACGAGGCGCAGGGTGTCCTTGCGGATGTTGATTAAGCTCCTGAGGGTCTTCACGGGTTCCTGAGGAGGTGGAGCAGCATAGGGGAACTAGGAGGAGAGAGGAGGAGGGGGGGATGCGCTGGTTGGGAGGCACACGAGGACTTCATGGCCCGGACAGAGTCACCCAGGCTGCAGAGAAGTCCCTCAGTGCTGCAAGCAGTCGCACTGGCAAATCTGCTCTCTTCTCCCTGCCACATTCCCGAAAAACATGGTATACAGCTTAAATGGCACAAGGTTTCCCCTCGCTTCCTCTCTTAATCACCACTGCTGCAGGGGGTGATGAGCCTTCTGGCTGGGGGGCTTTCRAGGTGACACCTGTGAGTGCCACCACCCTAGAGATGCACGAGCCCTGCCCTGATTTTCCRCAGGGGACCAGAGGGACCACTGTGATCCAGAGACTCTGGGAGCAGATATCTGAAGACAGGGGGAAAAAAAACACATATAATAATAGAAAAAGGAACAGCTTAAGAAAAGGGACAAGGCTGTGGGAGCTGGGCACATCCCTGCTCAAGAGAAGCAGAGGCACAGCGAGGGGAAAGGGGCATGGATTGCACTGCAGGGAGCAGCCCGCGCTGCCGGAGCACCCTGCGCTTCCAGGGCCGGCACGGGCAGCTGCTCACGCCAGGTATTTTTAGACTGCTGATGCAGCAGGGAGAGTTGATGGACGAGACCKGGGAGAGGGGAAGTCAGGTGGGAATTCATACACGGCTATGAAACGGGTACGAATCCTGCTGTTTTCTCCCCATGATGGATGGTGTTTTGGGTACAGGGCGGGTATCCAGCCCACCCAGCCCCTGTGGTGGGCAGGGACCCCGACCAGCAGCATCCCTATGAGGGCAAGGACAGTGGATCTGCTCCAGGGTGACCATGTGCTTCCCAGGCACCTGTGCAGATGCTGCTCTTCAGCAGAGTGATGCCGCACAACCCCCAGCGGATTTGAGCACCCCCAAACTCAGCACAAAGCCAGCTGTCACCCTGGGCACCCACACACGAGCTGGTGTTGTGTTTTTCTTCTCTTTTTTTTTTTTTTTAATGAAAAATTTTGTAAGCCAGATTTGTACCTCACAAAGCGGCTGTTGGGAGATATTTTTTTCTACCCGCCCCATTTAAACAAAGCTAAGAAACAAGAGGGAAAAAAAAACTCACCATAACCATTAGGCATTTAAGAACACTATAGGCAAACTAGCTGTATTTGCTCCAGACAGGTTTCTGTTAAGGTCTATAAATAAATAAATAAAACTCCCATTCTGCCAAGGCTTTGGAAACCCTTTGGTCTGACGAGGGCTCAGGGAGAGACACAGCGATGTTGTCAAATTCCTGTGGCACTCATACACGTGGCCAGGCAGGTAGGAGGCACTCACATAGGAGTGAAAGGCTGCAGAACGCAACCTGTATATTAGACATCAGAGAATCCCCTCACTCCCCCCCCAACCCATTCCCCTCCTTAGCACCCACACAGTGCCCTGGGCTTTCAGGAGAGCAGATGTCCTGGCAGATGTCACAGCTGAGCCCTGTTCCCACGACAAGGCTGGAGGCCCTGCCAGCCTGTGCCCATCCCATGCCCACGGCATCGGTCCCTACCGGGACAGGGCGGTTGCCCAAGAAGTTGAGGTCGCTGTTCTCGCCAAAGAGGTAGCCCTCGGGGTGCGTCGAGTCGAACTTCTCGCCGCCCATGATGAAGTGGTTGGCAAAGTAGTTCCCTGGGGAGAAGGATCAGGGAAGGGGGATGTGAGCCGAGGGAGGCTGTGGGGAGGCCAGGGAGGCCGCAGAGAGGCCGGGGCGAGACAGGAACGAGCTCGAAAGAGCAGCACGAAGCCATTGCAACCCTGGCCGTGGGGACGGGGAGSTGGCAGAGAGACAGCACCGGACCCAGGACATCCCTGCTGGCAGCCGGCCCCGGATCGGCACTGAGCACGGCCGGATCCTGGGCAAGCGGCAAGAGGTGCTGGGGAAGGCGGAGTGGGTTCCTTTGGGGAAGCAAAATGAGCACTAATGCCCAGCACACACCAGGGACAGCTYGACTGCAGTGCATGCTCCGGGACTGTGAGCAAAGCACAAGTGAACMGAGTTCTGTCCATTCTCAGCCTTCCCAGAGCAGAACCCTATGGAGGGCATGGATTTTGCACAGCCAGGCGGAAGATGACTCATTCCCGCTTCGTGCCATCCAGACTTTGACCACCGTGGGGAAAAACACCTCTGTGAACTACGCAGACAGGGTGTGTGGACTGGAACTTTTCATTAAAGGTGAGAAAATSGGAGGAAAGAGGGACGCGAGGCCAGATCAGGGCAGCAGGGAGCAGTCGGGAAAGGCAAAAGGAGAGGATGGACATGGAAGGAGATGAACAGAGATATTCCGACCCCTCATGGCACAGGATGCAATGCCAGGCGCACAATGCAGGATGCTAAATGCCTTTGCKCTTCCACCCTGCATCCCTGCCCCTCTGCCCAGCAGGAGCACACGGGGATGAATCGAGGAGGGCTCGGAGCTGCAGGCGAGAAGAGGGGTGCCAGGGCTGGGCCCGTTCCYGCGGAGCCACGGATGCTGCTCCCCGTCTAAGGAAAACTCGACCATCAATTATTGACGCCTGCTGCTTTCTGGTCCCATTTTCCGTGTACATAATTTATGGGCCGCTCCACAGGGAAGGAGGCAGCCGCGTGGAAAAGCCCAGGAGCCAACGGCCGGCACGGCCGCGGCCCCAGCTCAGCAGCACCAGCCTTGCAAGGCCAAGGCCTTGGGAAAACAGGAGCTCCAGGGATGTGCAGGATGGCAGAATCGGCCAGAACCCCAGAACCTGCAGGGCACAACCTCCATCCCGAGGTTTCCTTTTCCGGGCAAACTGCAAATCTGCAGCCCCGCCTGCCCTGAAGGAGCGCAGGCCTGTCAAGGATGGTTAAATCACCCAGGCAAAGCCGGGCTTTAATGAGAGCTGAGATTTCAGGGGAGCGGGTGGGAACACGGCCAACGGAGCCACGGTGCGGAGGAGGAACCTGCCCACTTCCCTGCCAGCCTTGGGATGCCCTGGCTCTAGGACAGAGCCTGGGCAAGGCTCTCCGTGCCAACCATGCTCATCAAACCAGGGACCCGAGCAGAGCTCCTTGGCCACCCACGTGTGAGCTGATGGGCAGGCGACTCTCGGCTTAGTACCAACGGAGCTGGTGCCAGTGCCAAGCTGGGATGCCAGGCTCAACACCGCTGCACAGGGCAGCAGAAGTCACCAGCAGGTTGTGTCCGTCAGGGTGACAGGGACAGGACGCATCACTAGTGCTCAAAGTCACCGCCTGGTTGAGCAGTTGCTGTCCCTGTGCCCTCCGCGGGGTCCCCACAGCCTGTCCCTTGGGAAATCCCTTCCCAAGGCCACAGCCACAGTCYGCCGGTTCTTTCCAAGCGGTGCTTAAGGAGTGTTGTCACTGCTGAAGACTCAGCTCAAGCGCTCGGTGTTTCTCCTGCTCCCTCCCTCTCGGCTGCCGACAGCACTGAGAGCAAATCCCCTGCAAGATTAAAAGCAGGAGAGCCCTAATCTGCCACGGCCCCCAGTTTCTGCTCCTCTTGGGACAGATGGCCGCGTGGCTCCCAGGGTGAGGGCGTCCCTGGAGCACCCTGGCACTTTCTGTCCCCTCTACGGCTGCAGTATCCAGGGACACGGAGCAGTGGGACTCGCTCACGCTGAGATGAGCCTCCCTGAACACACCTGAAAGTGCCGAGTTCTCCCACAAAAAAGACAGTGTCCAGGAGACTGGATGGATAAGCATGCAAATCCCCTCACCCAGAGGAGATTTGGCTCAGAACCCTCCCAAAGAGCAAAACCCATAGCCAGGCATCAAGGTGACCAAGGCCTTGAAACCGGGTCAGGGAAAAAAAAWAATACATAGGAGATGCAAATGCCTCTGGGAGCAGCAGGGTCCCACGGGAGGATGGGCAGCAGTGCCGCAGCCTGAGCATCCTGGCATTGTGCTTTGCAGCCTGTTTCGGAGAAACAGCCTGCGCTGGCGGCTTCAGAGAGGGCCAAAGCCGGGGGAGGAGGTCTGACCCCAGGCAGGTGTTTCGGCAAAGCAGCTCCAGCTGTGCTCTCAATTTTGGAGGGGAAAAAAAGGAAAAAAGGAAAAAAGGGAAAAAAAAAGGAAAAAAGGAAAAAAAAAAAAAAAAAAAAAAAAAAAAAAAAAAAGAAAAAAAAAAAAAAAAAAAAAAAAAAAAAAAAAAAAAAAAAAAAAAAAAAAGAAGAAGACATGGAGCACATCTCGGCTAGACAAGTTTGCACCAGCAGTAATTCTTCCCAAGGAGGTCTTTAGGCATAATTAGCAAGCAATTTGTCATGGCGCTAATGATCCTGATGTTTACCTTATCCTATTAACTACCAAAATAGTTACCTATTAATATTAGCCAGCGCCGCAAGGATCTTGTGGCAAACCCTCGGCACATGTAGGGCATTTTCAGACATCATCGCCAGATATTTTTTACTATTTTTGCATATTTACATATCCTAGGAGCCCAACTCACTTTGCTCCCCAGTGCAACCCACTCAGACATCCCATCGGCCCAGCCCTTTTGCAGGGAAAACCACTGCCCAGAGGGGAGGGACTGATTTTCCAAGGTCATGCACAAGGTTTGAAGCAGGGACAGGATGCAGGGCTGGGAAGAGTCTGCTGTGACGGCTCGAGGCAGAGCCAGGGCAGGGAAATATCCGCAGAAGCAGCAAGGTTGCAGCAGCCTGGGAAGGAGGGGATCCCCTCTGCTCCCCCCCATTCCAATGCCACTGGGAATTTACGCAGCACTTTTGCAAGCCCGGGTCACCCTGATGCCGGCTGTGGGCTTTGGCGAGAGCATCCGCAGCTCTGCAGCATGAAGCAAGGGATGAAACCGCTGGTGAAGTAGCAGAAACTCAGCCAAGTTGGAGAGAAGGGAGCAGGGGGAGAGCCGGGAGACTCCAGTCCCGGCGGGGAGGGTCCCTGGGGGGGTCCAGGGCCGGGTGGACGCTTGGAGCACCCCCCCCCCTCCAGGTCACTCGGAGCATCCCCATCCTGCTGCTCCAAACATCCCTCTCCCGCTGCTTGGAGCATCCTCCTCCACTCACTCACTGCTCGGTGCTCCTGCCCTGCTCGACCGCGCAGCCGGACCGGCTCCGGGAGGGAGCCCGGCCCAAGCGCCCCCCCCTCTCCCCCCGCACGGATCGTACCGGATTTCGGCGGGTATCTGTAGAGGGAATTGGCGGGGACATCCACCTCCTCCACGGCCGCGTTCTGCCGGCTGCTCAGCGCCCCCATGGCCGGGCCGCGCTCAGCGGGCGGGCGGCGGCGCGGCGCCCTCCGGCCCGGCCCCGG